TAGGGAAATAGGACTTGAACATCTGGACTGGGATATGAAGAGTATGAGAAATCACTCGTTAGCTTAAAACCGCAGTGAAAACCATATATGTATATCTATAAAATCTCTAGCCAATTATTAACAGCTTAGCTACAAAATAACATTAAACCTTTATAAGGATCGAAAGATCTTGTCTCAAACTAATCTCCTAATATCAGAGAGCATAAAAGACTTCAGAAACATCAGCCTGTTTAAAACCTACACAAATTTAAATTGCAGACCCTGTTGTTCTGAAAATAATCCTCCCCTGCGATTAAAAAATAAATGAGAAAGGTTGATGACTGCTGTGCACAGAAAGAAGTCCACAGTATCTCATCACACAGCTTTTGGCATAGAGTATCTCAGAGACACGAAATGCTTCCCACGTGTGAGGTGAAGGCCTCAAACAACATGTGATTAATTCACCAGAGTGCTGTTCTGGTGCCTTCCACAAGCTGGAATAACTCCATTTTCCACAGATGGCTATTACAGGCACCACTCCTATGGTGGGAAGATAAACATTAGTGCCATCATTTTTGCACACCTTGAGTTTTAGATTAACCTTTCCTGTGGCTTATTGCCTTGTGATTCACTGCTTGCAGAGAAGGCTTTGTCAAGACCACACTCCCTCTTCCAGGCAACAATACATACAAAAAGCTAATATTTTGAAAACGGCTGCAGCACCAGTGCCTTATGGACTCAATTACCTACCAATATAGTGTTAGGCATCATGGTTCAACCAAGTCTTCCATTGATTTCATAATACAAGAAGCAAATAAATACTTATGAGAAAAGAGGTTCATCTTAAGTAGTCTGTCCACTGGTAGAGTACATTGGAGAAGCACAGGCGGCTTTCTCAGAGGCTTTGCTGCAAGGGCAGTCCTAGGAGCACCGTAGGATTAGGATCTTTGGATGTGCTCCCTGTTGTGACCGCTGGATCAGTGATAGCAGCTGCAGAAAGATCAGGGCACAGCCACATTTCTGCCCACCTTTCCTCCCCCAGCATTGTCTCTTTTTGCAGGTGGGTCTTGAGGTCCAAGAAGCCATCAATGTGCAAGGACTAGATGCAGTTTAACACCATGAAAGTCCTCAAGGGAGAGCATGTCAAAGGCTAAATATTTATTTTTAACACCAAAACCAAAAAACATCCTTATAAATGATATATCCTTATCGTCAGCACAGGTCCTCTAGAAACTCACTGGGAGTATACTAGGTCTTGGACAGAGAACATCAAAGACCACAGTCACTGATCCCCCAAAGCCTGGGTGTGAGATGCTGACTTTACTCTCTAGATATACTCTTTTAGCCTCCAATAACAAAATAGCTTCCTAAATATGGCTTAATCATTTAACTTGCTTAAAAAAAAAAAAGGCCTGATAATCAGCAGGTTTTCTCTCCCTATAGTCCCATC